TTCCACAGGGTGTCAAAATGTCAAATGAGCACCTGCCCTACCCTAGGCCCGCCCTTCATTGTCACCTGACATTGGAGGGACCACGGGGCTTCCAGCTTAGGTCTGAGTCAGGGCAGAATAGGGGTGATCTGGCATGCAGAGCACTCACTGCACGCCCCGCCCCCAGTGAGGCTGCCACAAACCTGGGTGGGAGATGCCCTGGAGGGCCAGAGGAGATGGGGCTCACCTCCAGGGGGCACAGCCACTGGGGTGGACAGGTCTCTGTGGCAGCCCAGGTGTGCACGGAGAGGGGTGGCCCATGGAGAGCTCCTGGGCTTTGGGGACTTGCACCCAGTGTGGCGATCAGGGGGGGCTTCACGGAGGAGGAGCCATTTGAGATAGGTTGTCAGGGAAAAGGGATTTCACCGAGGACACAAGGGAAGGTAAGATTTACAAGGGCCCAGCAAAGCTAAATGTTCAAGGAGTGGGAAGAGCGAGGTGTTCCCAGGCCAGCTGACCCCTGTCTCTTTCCACCTGTAGCTCCGAGAAACACCGGTGCTACGACGTCATCCTGACGGCCTACAACATCATCGGCGAGAGCCCAGTAGCGCGCCCGTGGAGGTGTTCGTCGGCGAGGCCGGTAAGCTCCGGGTGCCCCTGCCTTCTGGGAGGCCTGGCCTGGCGCTCTCAGGGGCTGAGCAGCGTGCCCATGTTGATGAGCATGGTGCCTGTGCGAGGCTAGGAGGCTCCGGCGTGGGTCAGCGTGGGGAGGGGTGTCGGAAGCGCCGGCGGGCACCTGCGGGGAACACGGTGGCATCAGTGGTGTCAGCGGCGGCAACAGTAGTGCTGGCCGTCAGTCGGAGTCAGCGTTCGGCAGCAGCGGAAGCTCCCGGCAGCAGAGGCAGCAGCCGTATGAGCAGCGGGTGGCGGCAGCGGTAGGTGCCGGGATAGTGGGCGTCGGTATGTGGCAGCGGGAGGCGGTGGAGGCAGGGGCGGCAGGAAGCGGTGAGGCACAGGCAGCTGGCGCCGAAGGCAGGCAAGAGCCGGCAAACGGCAGGCAGGCGGCAACAGGAAGCGGCCACAGCGGTTTCAGGTGGCGGTGGCAGGAAGCGGCGGAAGACAGCGGAGGCAGGCGGCGGGGGAAGGTGGCAGGAGGAGGGAGGCTGCAGTGGCGGCCGGCAGTGCGGGCAGCCGGTTCCAGGTGCCAGCGGTAGGCAGGCGGAGGCGGCAGGTAGGAGGTAGCAGGTGCAGGCTGCAGTAAGCAGCGGCTGGCAGGCAGGCCACGGCAGGCAAGGGCCGCGGGTGGTGCCAGGACATAGCAGGCGGCGACAGCAGGCAGTCGGCGGGGGCAGGCAGGCGGCAGACAGCAGCATTAGGCAGACGGCAGCTGTGGCAATTGGCAGGTGGCAGCGGTAGGCAGACGGTGCCGGCAGTGGTGGGGTTAGGCAGGCAGCGTTGGCATGCATCCTCGGGGTTAGGTAGCTGGGCCCGGTGAGCCAGGCTGCGGCAGCAGACGGCGGTGGCAGGCGGCGGCAGGATGCGGAGGCAGTCAGGCGGCCACGGATGCCGGCGGGCAGCAGGAGGCGGGTGCACGCAAGAGCGGTGGTTGGAGAAGGCAGGTGGCGGCGGCAGGCAGAGGTAAGCGGCAGCAGGGGGCGGCAGTGGCAGACGGCAGTGGTAGTACTGACTGGTGGCGGCAGCAGGCAGGCGGTGGCAGGCGGCGGTGGCAGCACTGGTGGGCAGTGGCGGCAGGCAGCGGCAGGCAGGCGGTGGCAGTTGGTGGCAGGCGGCAGCGGGCAGCAGGAGAGGTGGCAGCGGTGACAGCACCAGCGGGTGGCGTCTGCGTCTGCAGCGGCTGCAGGGGCGGCAAGGGCTACAGGGGTGCCAGCTTTGGGCAGCCCCGGGTCATTGAGCGGCAGTGTGGCAGCCTCAGCAGCAGGTGCCATTGGCTTCAGCTTGAGTCACCGGCGGGGGAAGCAGGCGCCGCGATAGGGGCGGGGTCAGCAGCAGGCGGGTCAGCGGCGGCAGCGTGGGTCAGCGTGGGGAGGGGCGCCGGAGGTGCCGGCGGGCATAGTCGGGTTACGCGGCTGCGTCGGCAGCGTGGGCGGCGTCAGCAGTAGTGCTGGCGTCAGTCGCCTTCAGCGTTGGGCAGCAGCGGAAGCTCCGGGCAGCAGAGGCAGCAGCAGGAGTATCAGCAGCGGGCGGCGGCAGCGGTAGTTGCCGGGTTAGTGGGGCCAGTATGTGGCAGCGGGAGGCGGTGGAGGCAGTGGAGTCAGGGCGCGGCAGTAAGCGGTGGGGGCAGGGAGGCAGGTAGCGGCAGGCAAGTGTAGTGGGCGGCGGCGGTAGGCGATTGCAGGCGGCGGGAGGAAGAGTTGGCAGGCTGTGGTAAGCAACGGCAAGCAGGCAGGCGGCCGCGGCAGGCACGCAAGGGCGGTGGGTGGCAGAAGGCAGGTGGCGGCGGCAGGCAGAGGTAAGCGGCAGCAGGGGCCGGCAGTGGCAGACAGCAGTGGTAGTACTGACTGGTGGCGGCAGCAGGCAGGCGGTGGCAGGCGGCGGTGGCAGCAGTGGTGGACAGTGGATGCAGGCAGCGGCAGGCAGGCGGTGGCAGGCGGTGGCAGGCGGCAGCGGGCAGCAGCAGAGGTGGCAGCGGTGGCAGCACCAGCGGGTGGAGTCTGCGGCTGCATCGGCTGCAGGGGCGGCAAGGGCTGCAGGGGCGCTAGCTTTGGGCAGCCCCGGGTCATTGGGCGGCGGTGTGTGGTAGCCTCAGCAGCAGGTGCCATTGGCTTCAGCCGGAGTCACCGGCGGGGGAAGCAGGCGCCGCGATAGGGGCGGGGTCAGCAGTAGGCGGGTCAGCGGCGGCAGCGTGAGTCAGCGTGGGGAGGGGCGCCGGAAGCGCCGCGGGCATCTGCGGGTTACGCGGTGGCGTCAGTGGCGTCAGTGGCGTCAGCGGCGTCAGCGGCGGCAGCAGTAGCGCTGGCGTCAGTCGGCTTCAGCTTTGTGCAGCAGCGGAAGCTCCAGGCAGCAGAGGCAGCAGCAGGCGTATCAGCAGCGGTCGGCGGCAGCGGTAGGTGCCGGGTTAGTGGGGTCAGTATGTGGCAGCGGGAGGCGGTGGAGGCTGTGGAGGCAGGGGGCGGAAGTAAGCGGTGGGGGCAGGGAGGCAGGTAGCGGCAGGGAAGTGTGGTGGGCAGCGGCAGGCAGGGTTGGCAGACAGGCGCCGGCGGTAGGCGATTGCAGGCGGCGGCAGGATGCGGTGGCAGGCTGTGGTAAGCAACAGCAGGCAGGCAGGCGGCCGCGGCAGGCAGGCAAGGGCGGCGGGCGGTGGAAGGAGGTAGCAGGCAGCGGCGTCGGCAGGGGGCGGGGGCAGGCAGGCTGCGGCAGGCAGGTGGCAGACAGTTGCTGGCAGGCTGCAGCACTGGGGGTACGCAGTAGCCGCAGGTGGCAACAGGCAGTGGCGGCAGGAAGCGGCGGCGGGCAGGTGGTGGGGGCAGGTGGCGGCGGCTTGCAGGCCACGGCCAGAGGCAGGCAGGGGGCGGCGGCGGCAAGAGGTTGCAGACGGGGGCAGGCAGTGGTAAGCGGCGGGAGGAAACGGCGGCAGGCAGCAGGGCCAGGCAGCAGCGTTAGGTAGGCGGCAGCAATAGGCGTGTGGTGGCCTTGGGCTGGCGTGGCGGGTAATGGTAAGTGGCAGCAGGCGGCGGTGGTAGGTAAGCAGCAGCAGGCCGTGGCGGGCTGCAGGGTGCAGGGGCCAGGCAGGAAGCGGCGGCTGACAGTCGCAGCCGGCTGTAAGCGGTGGCAGAAAGCGGCGGCAGGTGGCAGGGGCAGGTGGCAGGGCGAAGCGGGCTGCAGCGGCGGCAGGCAGTGAGGGCAGCAGACGGCAGCGGCAGGCGGTGGGGGCAAGCGGGCTGCAGGGGGCAGCGGCAGCAGGTGGCGGCGGTAGGCAGGCAATGTTGGCAGGCATCGTCGAGGTTCGGCAGCGGAGGCTGGTGGCAGTAGCCGCAGATGGCAACAGGCGGTGGTGGCAGGAAGCAGTGGCAGGCGGGTGGCGGGGACAAGTGGTGGCCGCAGGCAGCAGTGTTAGGAAGGCGGGAATTGCAGCTGTTGGGAGGCGGCAGTAGTAGGCATGCGGTGGTGGCAGGCTGCGGTGGCGGGCAGTGGTAAGCGGCAGCAGGCGGCGGTGGTAGGGAAGTGGCAGTGGGCTGTAGCGGGCAGCGGGCAGTCGGGGCAGACAGGCGGTGGCAGGCAACGTCGGCAGCGGGCTGCAAGCGGCCGCGGTAGGCAGGTGGTGGTGGTGGTGGCGGCAGGTGGCGGCGGTAGGCAGCGGTAAGCGGCGGCAGGGGGTGCGGGCAGGCAGGCGGAGGCAGGGGGACACAGGCAAGGACGGCGGGCGGCGGCAGGCAGGGTTGGCAGACAGGCGGTGGTGGTAGGTAGTAGCAGGCAGCCCCGGCAGGAAGCGAAGGCAGGCGGCAGTGGCAGCAGGCGGCAGCGCGGGCAGGCTGTGGTAAGCCGTGGCTGGCAGTCAGGCAGCCACAAGCAAGGGAGGCGGGCGGTGCAAGGAGGTAGCAGGCGGCGGCGGCAGGAAGCGGTGGGACGCAGGCAGCTGGGGCGGCAGGCAGGCAAGCCCCGGCAAGCGGCAGGCAGGCGGCAACAGGAAGCGGCGGTAGCGGTGTCAGGCGGCAGTGGCAGGAAGCGGCGGCAGACAGAGGAGGCAGGTGGCGGGCGAAGGTGGCAGGAGGAGGCAGGCTGCAGCGTAGGCAGGCAGTGGGGGCAGTGGGCTGCAGGCGCCAGCGGTAGGCAGTGGCGGTAGGTAAGAGGTAGCAGGTGCAGGCTGCAGTAAGCAGCGGCTGGCAGGCAGGCCATGGCAGGTAAGGGCCGCGGGTGGTGTAAGGATATAGCAGGCGGCGGCGGCAGGCAGGCGGCGGGGGCAGGCAGGTGGCAGACAGCAGCATTAGGCAGGCGGCAGCAGTAGGCCGGCGGTGCCGGCAGCGGTTGGCGTAGGCAGGCAGCGTTGGCATGCATTCTCGGGGTTAGGTAGCTGGGCCCGGTGGAGCCAGGCTGCGGCAGCAGACGGCGGCGGCAGGCAGGCGGTCACGGATGCCGGCGGGCAGCAGGCTGCAGGCGCAGGCAAGGGCGGTGGGTGGCAGAAGGCAGGTGGCGGCGGCAGGCAGAGGTAAGCGGCAGCAGGGGCCGGCAGTGGCATACGGCAGTGGTAGTACTGACTGGTGGCGGCAGCAGGCAGGCGGTGGCAGGCGGCGGTTGCAGCACTGGTGGGCAGTGGCGGCAGGCAGCGGCAGGCAGGCGGTGGCAGGCGGTGGCAGGCGGCAGCGGGCAGCATCAGAGGGGGCAGCGGTGGCAGCACCAGCGGGTGAGGTCTGCGGCTGCATCGGCTGCAGGGGCAGCAAGGGCTGCAGGGGCGCTAGCTTTGGGCAGCCCCGGGTCATTGGGCGGCGGTGTGTGAAAGCCTCAAGAGCAGGTGCCATTGGCTTCAGCCGGAGTCACCGACGGGGGAGGCAGGCGCCGCGATAGGGGCGGGGTCAGCACAGGCGGGTAGCGGCGGCAGAGTGAGTCAGCGTGGGGAGGGGCGCCGGAAGCGCCGGCGGGCATAGTCGGGTTACGCGGCGGCGTCAGTGGCGGCAGCGGCGGCAGCAGTAGTGCTTGTGTCAGTCGGCTTCAGCGTTGGGCAGCAGCGGAAGCTCCGGGCAGCAGAGGCAGCAGAAGGAGTATCAGCAGCGGGTGGCGGCAGCGGTAGGTGCCGGGTTAGTGGGGTCAGTATGTGGCAGCGGGAGGCGGTGGAGGCAGTGGAGGCAGGAGGCGGCAGTAAGCGGTGGGGGCAGGGAGGCAGGTAGCGGCAGGCAAGTGTGGTGGGCGGCGGCGGTAGGCGATTGCAGGCGGCGGCAGGAAGCGGTGGCAGGCTGTGGTAAGCAACGGCAGGCAGGCAGGCGGCCGCGGCAGGCAGGCAAGGGCGGCGGGTGGTGGAAGGAGGTGGCAGGGGGCGGCGGCGGCAGGGGGCGGGGGCAGGCAGGCTGCGGCAGGCAGCTGGCAGACAGTTGCAGGCAGGCTGCAGCACTGGGGGTACGCAGTAGCCGCAGGTGGCAACAGGCAGTGGCGACAGGTGGGGGCGGCAGGAAGCGGCGGCGGGCAGGTGGTGGGGGCAGGTAGTGGCGGCCGGCAGGCCCCGGCTAGGGGCAGGCAGGGGGCGGCAGCGGCAAGAGGTGGCAGACGGGGGCAGGCAGTGGTAAGCGGCAGGAGGAAGCGGCGGCAGGTGGCAGGGCCAGGCAGCAGCGTTCGGTAGACGGCAGCGATAGGCGTGTGGTGGCCGTGGGCTGGCGTGGCGGGTAATGGTAAGTGGCAGCAGGCGGTGGTAGGCGGCGGTGGTAGGTAAGCAGCAGCAGGCCGTGGCGGGCTGCAGGCCCCAGGGCCCAGGCAGGAAGCGGCGGCTGATAATCGCAGCCAGTCATAAGCGGTGGCAGAAAGCGGCGGCAGGTGGGGGCAGGTGGCAGGGGGAGGCGGGCCACAGTGGGGGCAGGCAGTGTGGGAAGCAGGCGGCAGTGGCCGCAGGCAGCGGAGGCAAGCGGGCTGCAGGGAGCAGCGGCAGCAGTTGGCGGCGGTAGGTTGGCAGCGTTGGCAGGCACCGTCGAGTTTAGGCAGCAGAGGCTGGTGACAGCAGAGGAGGTGGCAGGTGGCGGGCTGCAGGTGGCGGCGGTAGAGAGCGGTAAATGGCAGCAGGGGGTGCGGGCAGGCAGGCGGAGGCAAGGGGATGCAGGCAAGGGTGGCAGGCGGCAGTGGAAGGAAGCGGTGGCGGGCAGGTGGCTGGGGCGGTAGGCAGCGGTAACTGGCAGCAGCTGGCGGGGGCAGCGGCCCGGTGGTGGTACGGGCAGGGTCAGCGCTGGGCAGCCAGCGCCAGCAAGCAGCAGGCGGCAGAGAGCGGCAGCGTGGGCCAGCCGCGTCGGCGGTCAGCAGCAGCATCTGCGATGGGCAGCGGGTGTCAGTGGCGGTAGCTGGGGGCTGTGGCGGTATGGCTGGGAGCAGAGAGAGCCAGGGGCAGCGGTGTCCTTGGAACCCTAGCATGCTGCGGTTCCGAGGAAGAGGTGCCCCTCAGCCTGGTATCTGCAGGGCACACAGGGGGCCACCCAGGACCCAGAGGCTGAGCCTGAGGCGGCGTGCCAAGTCCTGCTTCCTCCCATTGGGGAGGCCAGTTGAGTTCGGCCTCTGCCCTGGGCCTGAGCTTCAGTCTCTCCATCTGTAAATTGGGCAGAACAGCAAAACCTTAGGGTTATGGTGCAGATTTAACGTAGGTAATGGGTTTCCTCTAGACTGGTTCAGAGTACAGGTTGTCATTCCTCTTATTCCACTTCCAGCTGTGTGACTTTGAGCAAGATAGGTAATCACCAGGCCTCAGAATTCTCATCTGAGAGATGGGTCTGCAAAGAGGACCTATATAGGCTTGTTTTGGGGATTTAGTGAAGTAGTACACAGAACCCATTTCCAAAATCAATGTAAATCATGGTTCCTGGCTCGAGATAAGTGCAGTACGAGTCTTTGGGATGAATATCACAGAAGTATTAGTTATTGTTATTGCTAGCACCGGGGAAGGAACACCGTGATTGCCATCCTCATGATTATCATCGTGAGTTAATTGAGGAGCTGCTCTGTGCCTGGCGCTGGCTAAGCATTCTACACCCTTTATCAGTTTGCACTTCTCCATGGGCTAGGATCCTGATAGGCCTCTGAGTCTTAGAGACGCAGATAATGCTTGGAACCAGATTTCAATCCCTTGTCTTTGCAGCTCCAAAACCTGTGCTTCCAACCTCTCCATGATTGGGGCGTATCCGAAACCCTCATGCCTCTCTGCTTGACTCTGCACCTTACAGCTTAGAATAGGGCCTAACACAGGGGAATACAGAGGGATAAGTATTCTCTATTTCTGTTACCGTCGTAGTCTTTATTCCCTCGCAGTGCTTTATGGGCACAGATGTAACGGCGTTGGTTAGTGATTCAGATCAAGAGCTGACAGACCATCCCAACTGAGAGAAATGAGACCCATTTTATGTGCTCCTCTCCCCCTAGAATGACGGTCAAGAGACAGTGATGACTCAGAGGTTGCCAGTGAGTTAAAGAAGTTGGCTGCCCAGCCGCAAGAGCCTGAGTAGACAGCAGCGGCGACCTTTGGTAGCATCTCAAAAGACACCTACACGATGGAACATGCCCAGGGATTTGGAAAACCGGTAAGGCACTTTCCATACACCCTGCCTTGTTCTTCCTCAACTTCTTCAGTATCTCCCAGGAACTCCCTGCTTCTTCCTGTCATTTGAATATAGTGACCTTTTTTTTTTTCTTTAAAGATTTTATTTATTTATTTGAGACAGAGAGAATGAGAGACAGAGAGCATGAGAGGGAGGAGGGTCAGAGGGAGAAGCAGACTCCATGCCCAGCAGGGAGTCCGATGCGGGACTCGATCCCGGGACTCCAGGATCATGACCTGAGCCGAAGGCAGTCCCTTAACCAACTGAGCCACCCAGGCGCCCCTGAATATAATGACCTTTACTTCTTCCTTTCCAATTTGGATGTATTTTATTTCTTTATTTTTCTTGTGTAATTGCTCTGGCTGGGATTTCCAGTAGTATAATTGACCGTTGTCCATCGTCGTTTTGAATTGTGTGGTCCACTTAATACATTTTTTATTCAGTAAATACAGGCATTGCTTGTAAAGGTATTGTCCTTTTGAATTTTTTTTTCTTTTAAAATGATTATTTATATTCTCCTTACTTAACATACAGTGCAATATTGGTTTCAGGAGAATTCCGTGATTCATGACTTGCTTACAACCCCTACTACTCATCATAACAGTGCCCTCCTTAATCCCATCACCCAGCTAGACCATCCCCCAAACACCTCCCCTCTGTCAAATCTCTGTTTTCCAGCATCAAGAGTTTCTTACAGTTTGTTTCCCTCTCTGTTCTTTGTATTCCCCCTCCCATTTGTTGATCTGTTTTGTTTCTTAAATCCTTAGGAGTGAAATCACATGGTATTCGTCTTTCTCTGACTCACTTATTTTGCTTAGCATAATACACTCTAGCTTCATCAGGATTTTTTTTTTTAAAGAATTTATTTATTTCTTTTTCTTTTTTTTTAATTTTATTATGTTATGTTAGTCACCATACAATACATCATTACTTTTTGATGTAGTGAGCCACGGTCCATTGTTTTCGTATAACACCCAGTGCTCCATGCAGTACGTGCCCTCCTTAATACCCATCACTGGGCTCACCAATCCTCCCAACACCCCTCTAAAACCCTGTGTGTTTCTCAGGTCCATAGTCTTTCATGGTTCATCTCTCATCCAATCCCCCCCCCATTTTTCCCTTCCTTCTCCTAATGTCCTCCATGTTTTTCCTTACGTTCCACAAATTAGTGAAACCATGTGATAATTGACTTTCTCTGCTTGACTTACTTCACTTAGCATAATCTTCTCCAGTCCCATCCATGTTGATGTAAAAGGTGGGTATTCATCCTTTATGATGGCTGAGTAATATTCCAGTGTATATATGGACCACATCTTCTTTATCCATTCATCTGTTGAAGGGCATCTCGTCTCTTTCGACCGTTTGGCTATTGCGGACATTGTTGCTATGAACATTGGGGTGCAAATGGCCCTTCTTTTCACTACATCTGGGTCTTTGGGACAAATACCCAGTAGTGCAATTGCTGGGTCATAGGGTACCTCTATTTTTAAATTTTTGAGGAACCTCCACACTATTATTTTTTGACAGAGAGAGACACAGCAAGGGAGGGAACACAAGCAGGGGGAGTTGGAAAGGAAGAAGGAGGCTCCCCACAGTCTTTGGATCCAATGTGGGGCTCGATTCCAGGACCCTGGGATCATGACCTGAGCCGAAGGCAGACGCTTAATAACTGAGCCCCAAGCTCCATCAGGATTTTCTTAATCACACTCTTTTTCTCTAGCTTACTTTGTTGTAAGAATACAGTCTAAAATACATATAACATTCAAAATATGTTGAATCAAATCTTTGTGTTCCTGATAACTTTTGTGGTCAACAGTAGGATATTAGTAGTTCAGTTTTGGGTGACTCAAAAGTATTCTCAGATTTTCAACTGCACAGGGGTTGGCAACCCTAATCCCTGCATTGTTCAAGGGCCAACTGTATGTTGAATAGAAGTGGCGAGAGTGTGCATCCTTGTCTTGTTCCTGATCTTAGAGGAGAAGCTTTCGGCTTTCACTCTTGCATAGGACGTGGCTTCTCAGGTATGGCCTTTATTAGGTTGAGTTACATTCTCTGTATACCTGCTTTGTTGAGAGCTTTTATCAAAATGGGTGTTGCGTTTTGTCAGATGCTTTTTCTGCATTGGTGGAGAAGATCATACGATTTTTACCCTTTGTTTTGTTAATGTGGCCTATTTCTTTGATTGATTTGTGGATGTTGAACCCCCCTTGCATCCCTGAAATAAATCTGACTTGTTCATACTTCTTCCTGTATTGTTGAATTTCGTTTGCTGTTATTTTGTTGAGGATTTTTATATCTATGTTCATCACAGATACGGGTCTGTAATTTTCTTTTCTTGTGGTATTTTGGTAGGGTTTGATAAGGGCAATGCTGGCCTCCTAAAAGGAGTTGAGAAGCATTCCTTCCTCTTGTATTTGTGGAAAAGTTTGAGAAGGATTGGTATTCATTTTTCTTTGAAAATTTGGTAGAATTCACCAGGAAACCATCTGGACTCCTGACTGTTGAGAGGTTTTTAATTACTCATTTTGTTTCCCTACTGGTAATTGGTCTGTTCAGAATTTGTGTCTTCATGATTCATTCGTGGAAGGTTGTGTGTTTCTTGGAATTTATCCTTTCCTTTTGGACGGTCAAACTTGTCGGGGTGTAATTGTTCACAGTAGTCTCTTATGAGCCTTTGTCTATGGTATCAATGGAAACATCTTTTTCATTTCTGATTATGTGTACTCATTCTTTTGTTTTTTACCTTGAGGCTAGCTGAAAATTTGTCAGCTTTTTTCTTTTCTTTCTTTCTTTTTTTTAAAGATTTTATTTATTTATTTGAGACAGAAAGAATGAGAGAGACAGAGAGCACATGAGAGGGCGGGAGGGTCAGAGGGAGAAGCAGGCTCCCTGCTGAGCAGGGAGCCCGATGCGGGACTCGATCCCGGGACTCCAGGATCATGACCTGACCCGAAGGCAGTCACTTAACCAACTGAGCCACCCAGGCGCCCTCAGCTTTTTTCTTTTCAAAGAACCAGCTCTTTTGTTGATCTTTCTATTGCCTTCATAGTCTGTATTTGATTTATTTGTTTGAGATGTTACTTCCTTTCTTCTATTAAATTTGGGCTTCCGTGTTCTTTTTCTGGTTCCTTGAGGTGGAAAGTTAGGCCGCTTATTTGAGACGATTCTTGTTTCTTGATTTATGCCTGTATCACTATAAACTACCATCTTAGAACCACTGTTTTTTAATTTTTTAAAAAAATTTTTATTGTTATGTTAATCACCATACATCATTAGTTTTAGATGTAGTGTTCCATGATTCATTGTTTGTGCATAACACCCCGTGCTCCATTCAGAATGTGCCCTATTTAATACCCATCACCAGGCTAAACCATCCTCCCACCCCCCTCCCCTCTAGAACCCTCAGTTTGTTTTTCAGAGTCCATCATCTCTCATGGTTCATCTCCCCCTCCAATTTACCCCCCTTCATTCTTCCCCTCCTGATATCTTTTTCTTCTTTTTTTTTTTTTTTGTTTCTTAACATATATTGAATTATTCGTTTCAGAGGTACAGATCTGAGATTCAACCGTCTTGCACAATTCCCAAGGTTTACCAGAGCACATACCCTCCCCAATGTCTATCCCCCAGTCATCCCATCCCACCCCCCACTCCAGCAACCCTCAGTTTGTTTCCTGAGATTAAGAATTCCTCATTATCAGTGAGGTCATTTGATACATGTCTTTCTCTGTTTGACTTATTTCGCTCAGCATAATGCCCTCCAATTCCATCCACCTCGT